CGTCGTGTTACTTCACAGCTAATTTAACTATTGCTCCAAAATGTAAGCCACACACGGGGATTTTTTAAGCATTTTCTTTTTTTTCAGTTTTGCAAAGAACTTAAGAAATCTTAAGAAAACATCAAGAAATCCTAAATATTGAATAGTGTTTGAAATCAATTTCGTATTTCAGATCTGTTGCACTTTTACCATCCACTCAAATCTACTCTCGCATACACACAAACAGACTGATAAGCAGGGGTCGAGGTCCATTAAAAAGGGCCCCTAATAGACAGTCTACTGCTGCTTCTGTTTGTCACTGAGGTGCACGTTGGAAAGGTTGTGTTCTTCAAGGGGGAAAAAAATATTTTCCATCAAGCCTAAAGTGCATTAATTCAACAAATACAAGCAGTTTGTCTTGCGTTGTCTAATCTGCTGTAAGTGAAATATCTGGTTGGGGCGCTTTCTGTCTTCATTTCCATATTCAGTAAATCGTCAGTTTGCAGACCTAGTAATACACTTAAATTATGATCATTTTAATTCTTATCTAACCTGTGGCATACTTCTGCTGGGGTGTGTTTGTCTGGCCAAAAACATGCTACGCTACATTAGCTGCCTGGGAGTGCAGGGTGTGCCTGTTCTTAATATGTGACTGAAACAGGGTGGGGATGCCCGCGTCTTGCAGGTGAATAAAAGGCACATTGAAAAGTGGAAGGAGGCGGACTCCGACGCTCGCTCACTTTTGCTCCTGCCCCTGCTGCCTTAGACATTAGCTCACAGGCTGCCCCTGCCGCCTCCTTCCAAACTGCTGACATGGAGAAACACTCTAGTCTTATATATATATATATATACAGAGTGTCAATCTACAGACAACAGAATCATGCATGACTGCGTGGTTCCAAATTTAAACCAGCCAGAAATAGGAGATGACATGAGTTGTTGAGATGTTCCCCGAGTATCTGACGCAGCCTCTTTGTTGTGCTGTTATTTATCTAAATGTCCACAGGATGCCCTTTCATTGGCTGGTTTCATGCTGCGTGACAGATGGTCGCCACTACCTTGTCACTGCAGGATGACACCAGCGTGACAGTCCTTAGAAGAAGAGGGAGTGGAGAGGATTGTGCAGGGAATTTTATAATCTAGAAACTCGATCGAAATATATATATTGAAAAATTGTGAAAAAAAAAAAAAAAGTGTCAATCATAGATTAAAAATAGAGATCGAACCCACAACAATAAAAATACCGTTGCACTGTAAAAACAAGTGCAGGACCTGATTTTGTGGCTGTGAGAGGGGCCTTTGTATTTACAGATCAGTAACTAGGCTGGCTGGAATGTCTCACTAACCCGGACAGTGTGTTGGTTCGATAAGCCGACAGGCGGCCATGTTTGTCACCAGTCACTGAGTCTGAGGACAGGCCTGACGATCTGCCCATCTACCTGCTAAGTGGTTCTCATTGCAAGCCGTCACAGCTCCGCGAATTGTTTGGTAAAAATGTCATTCATTAATAAGACATGGGGCGAGATCCACTGTCGCAACGACACCTGATGCCTGTGCTTCACCTGAGGGGAACCAAGCAGGGACGAATCCACAGAGAGGAAAGGAAGGTGTAGAAGGAAACTAACGCTGGACTCTTTCTGGACTAAGACAGCGGTGCCGTCAGTGTAGTCTTTATCCTTTTTTTGTAGGAACTTTTTTTTGAGGTTTTTTTGAGGACCGTGTGACATATAAACATCATGGACAGAATTGTTGCAAAAAAAAGTAAAGTTAAAGATAAAGTTAAAACAACGCTATCTGGGTTGTGAGATTGTTGTGGGTTTTTATGGGTTGGTCCAGTGGGAGGAATACTGTTGACATTGCCGAGGTGTGACCGGACCATACAAAAGAGAAAAGAACTAATAAAAACATCAATATTTGATCTCTTTCTAAAAACGTGATAGCAAATGTTCCAGAGCTTATCTTTCCTCGTCGGTGTTTCTCCACCCGACATGTATTCAGTTATCTACCACAGCCTGATCTCATTCAGGGTCACAGCACTCTTTGGGCCAGGGGGGCGGGGACACCTGGACAGTTGTCCACGCCATAACGGGGACAGAAAGACACAAACAAAATGTAATTTAATCACGTGACTGAATACAGGAACCTGAACTGCCTTTCTACCTCAGTGCCTCACTTTGCCTACCTTTACATAACACTGTTTGCAATAAGACAGGTTTAAATCTAGCAGACGCTGAATGTATGATGCACTCGTAAAACGGCATCACTGATGAAACAGTTCGGCCCGCAGCACTGTGTGTTTCTAACATGTGTGTGCTGATGAAACAGCACTGTGTGTTTCTAACATGTGTGTTAGAAGTGCAAGTCAAGTCACACCTACACTTCAATGTGAGAATTAATCATTAACAGGCCTGAAAGGAGTGCTTCCACTCCACACGTAACATTGTGCTGTCACTGTTACCCCGGATACTTTTAAAACATTTTACAGTTCAGAGGGCAGAAACGTTTTGCTTTCATTTCATGCCAAAAGAAACCGTAGGTTGTAGGTCAGGGTTAATCGATGATTAGAAATCAATAAAATAAAAAAATAGTTTGGATTGTTATGGATTTTGTTCCTTCTTAGAAATACTACCACTATTCTCTTTTTTTTTGATAAATAAATGTAAAAAAAAAATAATCTAAGGAGCAGTTGTGACACTAGGGTGGGGCGAGGAAAGTGGACACTGGCACAAACCGTGCCCAACGGTCCATAAAAATATTATTGCGCGGCTGGTTTATTACAACACTGCCATTCGATGTGAATCTCATCTGCTCGCTCTGCTCAAACCGTCAAGATGTGGACCTGGGGTCAGTAACAGATCTGTCGCTCTGTTTCTTTGTTTTTGTTTTTCCGCCGTCTCACTTTTATTTCCTTTCAACAGAACAGAGGAAAAAATATTCCAATTCCAATTTCATCATGCAGGAGACGTCGCAGTATCATGTGGAGGTAAAAAAAAAAAAAAAAAGTGTTTCTGTCTCACGCCATATTTTGTACACGCCATTGCACAACTGCTTTTTTTGTATGTGGTATTGTTGTATTTCTGTGACTTGTACTTAATGAAAAGTATCCGTCCGTCCTGAGTTTTCAATACGCACCTGACTTAAACAGGAAATGATTATTTTAGTGAACGGCCTACTTTTCAGAAGCTAAATTTCTTTTTTTTTTAAAGTTCCCAAAAATATATTCTATTTTGCGTAATGGATTGCATAAGATTTGGAATTGTGCTTTTGGATATTATAGTGATATAAAGTTGACTGTGTCTCCATTTATATTTTCTCCACATAATGTTTGTGAAAAAAATACATTAAAAAAGTTATGTCCACTCTGAGACTAGAATAAAATTATAAATGCAACTGTATGATACTGTTATACACTGCGCATGTATTAATGCCTAAAGGCTAATTTAAAACACATTCAAATGGGTGAAGTTTACATAATTTAATATAATTTGTGGAAAAGAGCTCACGGAGAAATTAATAACGCTGACACGCCAACACTCTGGTCAGATCCTTTTTTTTTTCAACCTTTTGTGATTTGGGAGCGTCAAGAGCCAGCTAATACTCACGGGCCTGTTTTGAACATAAACACTGACTTTTAGAAATCGGTCCGTGCCTTTTGTTTGTTGTGCATACACTGCAGGTGTTGTTTTCCACACCCATGCTTGTTTAAGTCTAAATTTTCCGTCCACTCTTATTTAAGTGGAATGGTGTGTATACTGTACAATATTATACAATATACATATGCATGTATATACAGTATATTATTGATATGTGTGACATATGCATTTATATACAGTATATTATTGATATGTGTGTGTATATATTATGGAAACATTGCAGCAATAAAGCACTCGGCAGTGCAGCTCCGATGCTGGGAATTTTCCTTCACAAACGTGCATCCAGTCAAGGAACCAACGTTTTCCTACGAAACACTAGAAGATACAAAAGAACATGTAGTACAACGACTCTTTAGGAGAGTATTTACGGTCACACATGATTTCACTGTGTGATTTTGCTTCCAAAAATAACGCTATTTCGAAAGAGCCCAAAATGAAAATAAATGATCTACGTCAGATCTGACAAAACAGTGATGATCTTTTAACCAATATATATTTGGTTTGGACTTTGGACTGTGATCGACTTTGGACTGTGATCGATTAAGCATTTGAGGAAGCTTAAGATTTAATGTAATTTTTTTTAAATTTCATTTTCCTGCAGCATCTCTCCACGTTCATCATGGACAAGAGAGACGCCATTGTCACGGTGGACGATGCCGTCAAGAAGCTCGCCCTCCTGGAGTCAAAGGACAAAATATGGACGCAGGAAATGCTGCTCCAGGTCACCGACAAAGCCGTCAGGCTGCTGGACTGTGACACACAGGTAATAACTGCCGTTATCGCGGTCATTAACGCGCACCAAACTGACCTGTGGCTGGTGTTTGGCACATGATGGCCACGTAATAAAACAACAGAACTCTGACCAAAGATCTGTTTGGCTGTACTGGTTATAAAACCTAATATAAAATCTCATTCCTTTATCAGAGAAGGATCTGACCCATTTAGAAAGTCTGACATTACTTCCTCCTAAGATCTCCTTGGTTCTTCTCCCACAGGAGGAGTTGGAGAACTTTCCCCTGCCCACCATTCAAATGTGTCAGACGGTGCTGAACCAGACACGTTACCCCTCCGTGCTCCTGCTCGTGTGTCAGGACAGGGAGCAGCACAAACCCGACATCCACTTCTTCCACTGTGACGAGGTGGAGGTGAGTCTCAGCCCGAACGTTATATACTTAGCTCAGATTGCATTGCGTTGTTGTCCATGCATGATCGTCTCCTTTGTGCCTATGCTATTCATAAATCTAAAGGGCCGTGGTTAGAGTTTTAGGTCAGATTTCACGGTGTGTGTGTGTGTGTTTGCAGGTATCTTTTGTATCTTTTCTGTGAAGAAAAGTCTGTTGTTTTAAATGACGCCACACTGTTTTCCTTGTAGTACAGAGTCACTGCCACAATGTTCATAAACAATGTTTCTGCCACTGAGTCAATAAAAGTCCATCACCGACCATCCATCATTTTTCAGAATGATGTCACACAACAGAAACCAACAGAAACAGCGGAGAAGCTTTTTGCATATATGCTACACAATGATGAAAAATTTGGAATTTGGAAAAAGCAAAGACTCTGTGTAACATTTAACGCTCTACAGATTCACACAGAAAAGAGAAAAAAAAAATACTGTTAAAATAATTTAACAGGAAGTGAAATACTTTAACTCTGTGTTAGTCTGCTGGGGATTCAAACATTCACAGAGTTGCCCCCTAGGGTATTTACACACCCAACACAAAAATGTTCATAGTGTTATTTTTATGTTAAACATAGTCATAATGCTAGTTCAGGGTTTATCTACCATCCCTGTTGAATAACATGAAGGTTGATATTGATAAGACATAATACAATCAAATGTGAAAATGACCAAAACTTGGATTCAGATCACATTTATTTTATTATGAAAATACCCCGAGGATACAGAGTACTAGGAGGGAGAAAAAGCAATAAGTTGCTAAGGGGACTAAAGCAGGGGTAGGCAGATTAGGTGTACCTAGTGCTATAGCGCCAAAAAGTCAGAAGGCATTATAAAAAATACTAGAAACGAAACAATGGAAATGGAATAAATATTCCACGCACGTCATTTAAACGTTAGGTTCTGTTCCAGCTCTAACAGTTTTAGGTGAAAATGTCTCCTGTTTGTGTTTCTCTCCTCTGTCCAGGCTGAGATGGTTTATGCAGATATAGACAGTGCCATTGGAGACAACAAGCACGGGAGGAAGATGAGGCTTCAGACTCTGAAGTAAGAGCATTACAAATACTTTACAGCAGGGATTCCCGGCACATCAGAGTACGTCAGAGATGGTCGGGTGGGCCGTGGGAAATTGTCCAATTTCACTAAATTCCAAAAAATAATTTCAGTCCTGCTCCCATTTTGCTACTCAGTTGAGCTGAAACAAAGTCAGAAAGACTCGAAGGTGTTGAAGAAGCTATTTGTGTGTGTTTCTTCAACTCGGGTGTGTATTTCAACACTGTGTTCAGCTAAACAGGTTTGGGTTTGACCCTAGAAAAATGCGTAAGATATGTAAAATATGTGCTGTGGTTCAGAAACATTCGGGGAATACTGCTTGGTAAGCACTTAACATCCAATGAGGGGACACTAATATATAGAGAAGTCAATAATTAAAGTTAAGTGGCCCTAAGTCTTGACGTTTCCTCCTCCGTCACCAGGGTGAATCAGGAGAAAATGAAGCGCCACAGAGAAACCATTCTCCCTCCTTCGGCCCCTAAGGGCCCCGCTCCTGCACGTAAGGGACGGGTGGCTGCTCCTGCCACAAGGGGTAAGTGAGGTTTCTGATGTTCCTCCCTGCTCTACAGGACAAAAAAAAATGCTAAAAATGTTTTGATGTAGAAAGAAGAGCCTCGGAACAAAGCGACACGGAGTCCCACGAAAACCTGGCCCAGCGCATTGAGAAGGACGTGGTGAGTGGTGTGGTCTGTAATGACAGCTGTCCTGACGCTACACACAGCTCCATTTACTTGCGCGCGGTGCTGCGTTTCCGATGTTAAAAAGCCAGTATTTCTGTCCCCTCAGCAAATTCTCAACTGCGCCCTGGACGACATCGAAGTCTTCGTGGCGCGGCTGCAAAAGGCAGCAGAGGCCTTCTCACAGCTCAACCAGCGCAACAAGAGTAAGAAGAATAAGAAGAAAGGACCAGCAGGTCTGTCTCCCTTTCTTCTGTTGTGGTGACAGGATTGCAGGAACAATATAGTCATATTGTTCACTTCACTGCGTTTGCGTCCCTTTGTGTCCTGTGTCCGAGGACGTCCAGTCATCAGCGTGTGGTCGCACAGACTGGTTTGCATGAAGTACAATGCCTTAACATACCTGCTGCTGTAATATTATTACTTCACCTGAACCATAAAATGATACAATGGGATGCAGGGCGTTGGTGTCATTTGACCGACTTGAAAAGTAATAATATTACTGTTAGTGAGTAAAATGTTCAAAGCAGTCGTACTTTTCCGTGTGATTTGCACGTGTTTTCTCTGCGAATCAACTGGTATCGCAGTGGTTTTTCAAACTCTTTCTGAAAGTGCCTCTGCTTTTAGTGATGGACTACGGTTCTAAACTGTATGGATTTTTCTCAATGGACAAAAGTTGCATGCCTACGGCTGTCTTTTGCACCATTAAAACCCGTCACAAAGTCTTGATAATGTTAATGGATTTCCATTCAAGTTTGGTTTTTCAAATGTTCGTAAACATGAAAACAAAATTTTAAACCTAACTCAGCTTAACATTTGGCAGAAATATAACAACTCCTGTCAGAAATTGTAACATTTGTCTTAGGACTTCTTGACTCATTACATATTCAACTCACAGAACTGCACTGACAATGGAAGCAGGTTAAAAACAAGCTTTTCTGAGCACCTACTTCCTGACCACAGTTTAAAAGTCCCTTGTGAGAAGTTGTTTAATAAATAACTGAAGTTTTTGATGACGATGTTTCTTTCATAAGCCACAGTAAAAGACAGTAAAATACTTCTCAGGGCTGTGATGATGAACTTTGGCCAGAAAGTGAAATCTGTGTCTTGGTCTATAATTTCTGTTATGATTGTTGTTAACTTTAAAGTCTGTCTGTGGTCATTGTTGGTGTGTTTTCACAGAGGGCATTATGACCCTACGAGCCAAACCCCCCACTGAAGCCGAGATGATTGACAGCTTGCAGAAACTGAAGCTGGCCCTGAACCTCTTGGTGAGATATCACTGCTACCTACTGCCATGACTGCCACTTTCATCAGCTCAGATCACATTCTCACCGTGTCTGTTATCTCGCCACCTGCAGGCCAAACTGCAGAAACACATTCAGAATCCCAGCGCCTCTGAACTGGTTCATTTTCTCTTTGGTCCTCTCGAGCTGGTAAGAACCGAACTCCATCAAAGTCCAGATACCGCTCCACTTTGGTCATATCTGCTCAGAGTCATAGTCCACTTGTTTTGTGCACAGGTGCTGCAGACCTGTGGGAGTCCTGAAATAGCTCGGTCAGTCATCTCTCCTCACCTCTCGAAAGATACCGTCGACTTCCTCCGCGGACACCTCATCCCTAAAGAAATGACCATCTTTGAGCTTCTGGGGGAAGGATGGACCAGACCCAGGTACAAAAATGTATCACTGGTGGTTGAGTCTACGACAATATTGAAAAGTTAACTTTAAATAGTTATTTGACCCCTGCTGGTAATACAGAGCAGAGTGGCCGAGGGATCAGTGTGCTCCTCCATATTATCCAAAGTTTCGTAACGGCTGGGATCCCTCACCGGAGTTCTTCAAGACGGCCCCGTGGGAGACAGAAGGACCCACAGGACCACCGGGACCTCCCACCAGCCCTGACTACAGGAAACACGCAGCAGAGGATGTAAATGTGGCGTTTAATGTCTGAACTTCTGGTCATCACTGCAGATATTTCATTTAAATGTTAATTTTTTTTTCCTTTTTTTTTTTTTTCAGTTTTACGGTACTCATTCTTCCAACTCATCAAATGGGTAAGAACTAAATTCAGATTTTCCAAACGTTCTCAACATTTCGAGTATCATACAATCATGTCCTGTCCCGCTTCTTAACAGTTCCTACAACGGGCGGACACAAAATCGCAAATACGCCAAAATCCGCTACCACTTTGTAGCCAGGAACGCCAACGAGCTGTCGGTGCTGCAGGATGAAATTCTGGAGGTTGAACACTCTTGGTTATTTTCCTGCTCTGTGTGAGAACGTCGTTGTGGGAATCAGTTTAAGTTGAACAACTAAATGCCAGAGATGACGTAAACCTTCACGACGATTTATGTGATTGTGTCTGATGATAACAGTAATTAAACGTCGGAGTCGTTTGACTGGGAGGCAACTTCATATACTGAATATGTGTATGTGTCACTACAGATGATTTTATTACTAATATACGATGAAATCATCTTCAAAGGTGATAGAGGACGACAAGCAATGGTGGAAACTAAGGAACCGCAGCGGCCAGGCTGGTTACGTCCCGTACAACATCCTGGATGTTGTGAGGATCGAGGAACCAGAGGGGGTCTTCAATCAGGTGACCTGCTTTAACGTTACGTGCTTTTGAATCCGAAGAAAACACAGTGTCTTTTCTCTAACACCGCAGCAGTAGATCAATGTCCACGCAGCATCGCTATTTAGATTAGGAACCAGATTAGATAAAACTGTATTTATATTGTTGTTCACCTGACATGGTCACTCCACTGACAGTTACTCTGATGCTGGACTGGCTCGGTATTCGCCGACATATGCAACACAGCCATTGGACAAAAGATGCCGCTCACCAAAACAGTTCTGCTCCACACAGCAACGACGACAGCGAGCGACTAGTTTCCAATTCGCTCTCTCTCATACGTCGACGGACAACAAATGGATTTGTCACGTTCAGTGTTCTGAAGTGAGAAAGCTGCGCCACCTCATGGATTTAATATTCATCAATAATAAATAGACCCGGCGATGATGAAGTTGCATTATTACTTAATGAAGTTTCTTTGTTATAATTATTTAATCGGACGACCCAAAAACACATTACTCACGTTACCCACGTTAGTCAGCCTCATGTAGGCTAAACAGAGCAGACGAGGAAGAAGGAACTGTCGGCTGCTTCTAGGAAACACGGTACTTTAAAGTGTGTCCCGGTAAAACAGGTCAGCGTTTGGTACTGCGTCACTATGTTTGCAGTATTAAATTGCAAAAAATGCGATAGATTTCATGAGGTCACAGTAAAAGACCATAACTGGGAGATAAACATGAATGTGAGATTATACAGGTAATAAAAGGGATTATAACCTTAGGTTACACTGCAGATCTTAAACTATTCTACCAGTGACTACAGTACAACAGCTTATCACAGTACCATCTGAACTCTGATCACCCAAGCTCTCTGTGGGAACACCCTGCTTCTTCTTGACCCTAACTTTCGCCACTACATCTTACATTTTCAGCCAGAACTTAAACCAAAGACGAAGCTTTTCCGCTATAGCTGTTTTTCAACGAAACTTGAACATGTTTGTTTGTGTTTTTGCACAACAGGACTACAGGACCTCGCCTCCCAGTTCTATTGGCCACAGCGACAACTTCAGCATGGGTAGACACAAAGACAAAAGTAAGGAGACAAAGTCAAGCCGAGTTGAAAAGGTGGAGTTTGTGATTTACAGTTGTTTAGACATGGTTTTTTTTTTTATGCATGGCAGTGATGGATGAAGTCAACACTGAGTTATTGATGATGATCACCGCTAACAAAAGCCAACCGCAGGCTAGGAAATTCCGCGTGGATCGATACTCTGGTACCCAGGTGCCCCTCAACTTTGACTCCGATGCAGAGCAGGTGACGGCATGGCTCACGTCTAAAGGCTTCTCCAAACCGTAAGTTTAACCAAAGTTTCCTTTAGTTAAAAATAATACGTCGGCCTGGTGTTTCTATTTGTGGTGTGACTGTAAAAATGATTGTTTGAATTCCGTATCCTTCTGTAGGACGGTTGAGTGTCTGGGGATCCTGACTGGAGCTCAACTCTTTTCTCTCAACAAAGATGAACTGAAGGCTGTGTGTGGAGAAGAAGGCGGCCGCGTTTACTGTCAAGTCACCGTGCAGAAAACACAGCTAGAGGTTGGTCACAAACCAGATGATAAGATTATTTAAAGACCAGGAATCAAAAACGCATTGCACGAAATCAAAATATTTGTTTGATTGAAGATATTTTGAAAAAAAAAAATAAAAAATTGGGTTCACACCAAACCACAAAATGAATTGCCAAACACTGTCTGAAAAGAACGTAATGACACAATGACATGATAATGTTTCACAGTCAAAATATGAAAAGAATACAAGAATACAAAGGAGGCCAAGAGAAACATGGGAAAACAAATTCTCTCACTGACGGACAGAGACAAAAACAAATTAATGAAACAAAAAAAAAGGAAATGAAATGAAAAACAGAAAAACGTACGATGAGACCAGAGAGGAAAGGGTGAGAACATAAGTAAATAGAACAAAACAAAATAAATAAAATATGTCTGGGAAAAATGAAGTATTGAGAGCATTTCACACAAACATTATTTTCTCATTTTTTACCCGAAATCTTAAGACTTGCAAACAGATTCCTAATCCTGACTAATTCTAGTTCTAACAATCACGATCATAATTTATTGAGGAATCAAGATTAATCCAAGTAAATATTATTTTCCTTAATTTGACAAATGCAATTTTAATAATGATAATAATAAACAATAAGTGGATGAAGGGTGAAATTACTGTATATACAAAGCCATTTTTTTTCTTTTAAAATGTGTAAAAACTTGACAAAGATATTCATTTATTAACGCAATTTATATGCGAATGTGAACGCCACAATTTTAGAGTATCCTCTAAAAAAAAAAAAATCTCAACAATTCCATTGTTTGTCTCTCCCTACAGAGTAACAAAGGAGACTCAGAGCTGCAGGAGATCATGAAACGAAGACAGGAGAGAATTGAATCTGGCAGCAAAGACTGAACCTGTCGAACCGGAATCGCTAATCCAGACGCTTACTCCACCTAAAACTCTTTTCACCACAGCAGCTTCCTTTAGTCCATCCGCTGCTAATTACCCATTACTACGTCGATCATGGTAAAAACTTAAACTGTAAATTTAAAGTGTATATTTATTTTTTAACCATGCATTGTATATGTACTCAAGTGTTTACTCACCTAATCATGTCGCTTCGCATTTTATTGATGCTTGTCATAACAATGTACAGTTTGGCATTTGTGAACGCACGTGTTTGTGTATGAGTGTGTGTGCGCGCGCATGTGACTGTAATAGGGCGTTCACGCGGAGTCAGTAACACAGTAAAACAAGTCAGTGACAGTCTCACAACTTACCAAACAGTGCCACCTCCTGGCAAACGTTGGCCAATGCTTCTTCTTTTTTAAATCCGGTCTTGATACAGCGTGGCAGCGGTGTTGGTGTCCACAAACGGCGGAGATTCAAGTTCACTGCTTTACTTCAGCAAAGTGGCGTCGGGATAAACTGGTCGCTGATAAGATGCCGTCTGAAAATTTGAATTTTTCCAACTTTCATTCGCGTCGAGTCTGAGACTCCAAAACATTGCAGCGTGTTGTAGCGCCATTTGCAACGCCAGTTGCGCTTGCGTGAACGCCCCATTCACACACATGTTGTATGAGGTGCCAGGTGATGTGTACGCTCTGTTTGAAATTACAGCTGTTTACGAAATGAATAACAAGACTTTTTAAAATCTGTGCCAGTATAGGGCTGAACAATTTGACGAAAATAAGTCAATGGTATTTTTACTACTATTATTTTTTTTGTATTTTAAGCTAATACTATTATTATAATCAGTATTGACTGAGTATATATGTATATATATATATACCAGCCAAAAAGTACCTTATTTGCAGTGTTTCACTAAAAGCAATAAATTGTTCAGCCCTAGCCATCCAGCCAATCATTTTCAAAATACTCAATACACAACTATAGAAAATCCTGACCAATATTCAGTTCGATTCATAGCAGGTGTGAGCAGTGGAGTCTTTATGCTGGTTGACAGCATCAAACCAGCAGAATGAGACATGGATCAAAAATCCCATTCCTACAACTGCACTCTCAGTGTCACTGCATGGAGTCGTTTCCAATCCATGCAATGCCGTTGTTGTTTTGGTGTCCTTTTCTCACATCGTTGTTCTTTGCAGTGGATCAAACATTGCGACATAAATGTATGTGAAGGACTGTTCTGCTGTAAATTAAAGAGGGTTGTACATGTTTTTGGGACAGTGTTTGAACAGATCATAATTAAAAGAGTAACTTGAAACAAATCTGACATTGTGGGTTTTTTTTTTGTGTGTACCTAGTTTCACTAGAGCGTTCACACTTTCTGGCAAAAATAAATGTATCAGTTGAAGAACAATGATTGAGTCAATTCACTAGAGCATCAGTTGAAGAACAATGATTGAGTCAAGATTTCACATTATTTTCTTTTATTGCCCAAAGAGTACCACATTGAAGATATAGAAAACATCCCGTTACCTACTCACTTGTAATGTTGGGTATATAAAGACATGATGGGAAATCGAGGACAGTAAAAGGCCGCGAGGCCATGATGGTTACTGCTGAGAAGGATCTAAAAAAAAGGAAGTCACAAAGACATCAAGAATTGTTTTTTTGTTTTTTTGAAAATTCAGGGGATCATAAAAACAGAGAACCACTCCATGTTGCACACATGTGAACAACACATACATTGTATTTATGCAATTATATTATAAATACATCATAATTAGATTTTAAAAAAAAGATCATTTGTGGAGATAGGCATCAAGCCAGAGGTCTCCTGAGCTCTTCAGTGACCTGGAAAGAAATGGAAAAAAACAATTTTTTAATTAAAACTGCAGCACACTACAACACTAATCAGGTTAAATGAAGTCGTACATTACACCTCTTTAACCGTACAGTCAACCATCACCGTCACACACACCTGACAACGTCAGCTAGGCCTCGCCACAAGGTCTTTACTTCATAGGGAATCTCGTATTTTGCACAAAGCGAACGGACTTGGGGGGCCACTAGGTGGTAGTTGTGACGCGGCATCAAGGGGAATAGACTGCAGAGACAAAAAGAGGAAGACGATTCATTCGACAAAAACCTGTTTTTAACAGTACCCCGTGAAATCACCTTCTCGAGTGAACAAGGGCAAATTACAAAGTTTGTAGACGAATACATATCTCCATGTCTTCATCCATATGAATCGTCAAAAGACTCAAACTAAGTTGCCTTTAAATAATCTTTTGGTGCAGGGAAAGAAACTGGGACTTACTGATGTTCGATTTGAAAGTTGAGATGTCCGCTGAACCAGTCGTTGAAGGGGGATTGTTCAACGTTACAGGTGGCTTGAAGCTACAGGAGAAGGTACAGGAGAGTGCAGATTAGATCATACATAACAGAAACATCTGTGGACCTGCTGGTGGACCTCAGCTACCTGCGTGGTTAACCAGTCTTGGTGTTTCTCATAGTCAATGTCCATGGGCAGATGATTCATCTGGGTGACCCACACGAACCAGTGGCTCTCCAGAAACCTGAAAACAAAAAAAATCGGAACAAAATCCTGATTAAAACTGACACGCGTTCCGTACCGTATGAGACGTCCTGCTATGTCGTCAATTTAAATCTTCCACCTGACAAATGTGATCAGGGCTAGGGAACCAAACAGGCCGTACAGCGGTATGTAACAGCTGAAGTAGCGAAGGTAGTAGGACAGAGACCAGACCAAATCCTTTACAAGAGAAATGGAAGTTCATCAAGTTAATAACGGTTATCAGAATCACAAGATTCTACGATAAAGTTGAATTTGAATCACACACTAAGCCTTCATCTGAACACACAATATGATCACTGTACAAAGGAGACAGAGTCTTACCACCCAGTCGTGACGAGAGATCATAGTGCGCATTATCTGACTGTGGAAAAAAACTGGAATAAGCAGCGGAGGTCCAACTATAACAGAAATCGATTGCAGTTATGACCAGAGTCTGAGGACTAACTTTGAATTTTAGCCCACTCAGATTTGTGTGTGCATTAACATGAAGTAGCTTTTTAAAAACATACCAAGAAAGAAGTACTGGTGCTGTCGATGGTAGGGCATACGTTTGATCTTCTTGATTCCGTACTGTGGCAGAGAGAAAGGCAATAAAAAAAAAAAACGGATCACGCTCTATGTTGTGTTCACATGCTCTCCACTACCTACTTCCACCGGCTGCGTGTCACCAAGTACGAACATGTTCAACATGTTGACGTCGGGGTCTTTTTTAAAAATGTTGGGCTTTGCATGATGCTGGAAATGTCGATGGTTCCACCAGTTGGCAGAAGCTCCCTGAGGAGAAAAGGAAATCTGTTACGGTTTGTAGGTTTAAAAAGCAAAAGCAAAAGGAGATGATCAGTTGCCTTTAAATGGCCAATGATAAACTTCTGCAGCAAATGATTCCAGTGGGAGTTTGGGAAGACAGACAGGTGGCCGAAGTCGTGCTGCAGCCATCCAGCCTGGGACTGAAGAAGACAGAGGAAGAGTTTTAGGGTTTTGGCACATTTACATACATATGTCTGCAAGAGATGACAACGTCAGAGCAACCTGAACAACTGTCAACATGACGACACAGAGGATGGTCAGAATCCAGTTAGTTCCCCAAAACCATATCATAAACCAGGCAAAAGCCTCCAGCAGCACGATGTGTCCCAGGTGGAGGTAGAAGAACAAAGGGCGAGCTCGGAACAGACCTTTTTTCTCTGCCTCGTTGCGTAAAGTGCGGAAATCCTGGATTAACGCTGCCTGACAACAGAGAAAAAGAAAAAGGTGAAAAAAACGAGGTGACCTGCAGAGATCAGACTAAAAGAGCTAATGTGGTTTTCTGGTCAGAAAAGAAACGTTTACTCTTTAAAATGCAACTTTAGATTTGGGGATTTTTCACATCTTTTGTTGCTGTTTTTGCACCAAAATGCTCAGTAATATACAATTTTTATTATTTTTTAAAATTACTTTAGATTTTAATAATGTGATATTATGCCTATAAAATTTCCTGTTGGCAGTCACTACAGAACAACAATATTTACGTTTGTCTCACATTTTTATTTCGGTCCTGGCTGGGTTCTGAAGGCGCTAACTCTCCAACCAGCAGGGGCTTCAGAAACTTTTTCACAAAGGTCAAATCTGGATGAAAAGCAGTGAATGCCTCCTGGAAAAACAGAATTGAAAATATACAACTGATATTAAAGGTGCATTGCAACCAATGAATGATTTTAAAAGACAGCACTTACTGAGGCGTCCTGTCCAGCGTAGTGGCTAATGACTCGATACCCTCCTGGATGTCTTTTGGCCCACTCTGTGGTGTTGTAAACCTTTCGATCTATAACCAGCCACTGG